GTAATGACTCTGAATAATGGCCTATATTCTACGTAATTATTTATATACTTCAGGTCATTTTTACCGGGCGAGAAAGTTTAAGAAGCCCTGTTTCATATTATTCGTTCGGTACGTACCTTCGCTCCTATTTGATTGCCGCATTGACCAGCTTGTAGATGGACGATTTCACGCATCGTTCTTACCTCTTTTCACACGTTCGTATCGTAGTCACGCCTTCTATTCGCCTTCTACACTAGGTCTACTTTTCTCAGGACACTGTCTTGTACGAAACACACGAGAAGTTATTACGGAACGGCGAGTTCGTCGTGAGAGCGAGTACAAACATGGAAAAGCTCGAAATCGGCAATCAACGAGTCGTCGTTTGTTTCACGGTTGCCTTGGATCTCGTGCCTCGTGTCGATCGTCACTTGTCTCTCGTCGTAGTCATAATCTCTTCTCTTTCTCACGAATCGAACAGTTTCGATGTTTCAAATCGAACTCGCAGTATAATACGTATTCATTCTTCATTGATTTTATTGTATTATTTTCTATTTATATAAAACGGTAAAGAAACAGGCAAGTTTCAGATGTTTCGTAACAATGAATTGAAAAAATAATATGCTTCTACAATAATATAATAAAAATTAAATCCTAGTGGAAAGAAGCTACTGAAAGTCGTGAAATCAACGAAAGACGTCAAGTTTCCATTTCACTTATTATTATCAGAGTCATAATATAAACCATATCTATATATTCTGCAGGTGTCTTTTCGTATAGCTTTTACATATGATTATGTAAATAAAAATTGTTCGTGTCAGGTTTATAAAACAACAAGAAGGTTTTAACGGGAATACTTATAATTTTTTATTGTTTTCTTGCAAAATTAGAATCGATCGAAACAGTAAGAAAAGTTAAACGAAGAGCGAGGACGCAGGGCCGGTACATCCTGATACGCGGTCGCCAGTGTCCATTTGTGTCCCAAGTCGTTGTCGTTCGATGTTACGTTCCAGAGTCCTGGAGGACGATCGATCGAAGGTTAGGCAGTTGTTTCGGCAACACGCAACCGGATGTTCGCGGCTGTCCTCGAGCGATGAACGTGAACAGGTACAAAGTCTTTAGCGTCTGCCGGCGATATAGGCAGCGGGATAGCTGGAGTAGGCGGCGGGATAGCTAGAGTAGGTGAGCGGTGCGGCGTGGGCGACCACAGGGCTGGCGATGTAAGGAGCGGCGAACGCGTGATTAATCGCGTGCGCGTTGTAGCTAGTCGCGTACGTTCCGACCGTCAAAGCCGCTGGGACCGCTGCTGGGACCGCAGCTGGGATCAGACCAGCAGAGCTGGCGGCGATCAAACCGGCGAAGAGAACCTGAAATTATAAATATGATATCAATAATCAATTTTGATGAATCCAGTCGTTCATTTACGCTTAAAGCGCGATATCACGTATAGAAGATTTTATTTATACTGAGCCAAAAATCTGATGTGGTAATCACTGTAGAACTTGACGAATCATTGGACGATGATATTAATTGTATGAAACGGGTCGACGATTGTCTATAGACAATCGGTTTCTTGGACAATGGTGAATCGAACTTACCAAGAATTTGATGGCGAACATTTTTGCGTTGGAGGTCTCGAGATTGTTTCGAGTGAAGAACAATTGGAGAACTGTATGCCATGTGGACTAGCTAGGGGTCTTTTATACTGAGTTTCGTCCGGGTACAGCTCCCACTACGACGAGCACGTGTTCGCAACACTGGTTTCGTGGTATCGTAACGAGACACGCGCTTCTGCATACCAGATTACCTTTAGTCGTTTTAGACCACGCCCGCGATTGCGAGCAGTCTCTCTATTTCCGAATCTAACCTTCTTGTTTCGGTTTCTTTTTTTTGGATTGCGTTTTTTATCTCATGGTTCCTGGTCGCGTCCCACGGCGCCACGGTGTCGTTCACCGTGGACAGTTCGCCTTGAACGTCCTTTGTTCCAAACGTTTTCCGTGTCCCTTCACCGAGCTTCACGAGTCGTCAAACCAGAAGTACAAAGACTTCGATCGTGAAAGTACCTCATGAAAGAATTTGGAAAGCCCTTTAATCATGGTCCTTAGTTAAGGCCCTTTCAATCATTTCATCATTTTACACAGCATGTTCTAAGCCGTCTTTATCTATCGATCAAAGTTGATGCATTTCGTAATGATTCGTAAAAACAGGTTACTCCATCTTTAATTGTTCTAAGAAAATTAATTATACGAGATCTGAAATTGTTCAGACCGTCAATTAGTAAAATTAAAATAGTTCCTAGCTTTCTGTAAATTTTGAAATGGAGGCATTCAAGTTTATTATATTTAAGTATATGCTGTTCTAAATACGAAACGCGAGCGCGCTTCTTGGGTCTAAAACATCGATTGGGACATCACAAGTTTCGAATATCGTTCGTCGAACGTGATTCGAATTTCCCTGCTGGAATCGTCGACTTTTGTACATACATCTCGTCGACTTTCTTCTGGTTCATCGACATACCGAATATCGTGTCGAACTCTCTGTAACACTACTTTTTGTAATGCGTTTCGCGTCACTTTGGAGAAATCCAATTTTCCTCTGACAAGAAATTCCTTGGTTTCATGATTTTTATGCACAGAAAAAATTCATGTGAATCACAGTAGTTTTCGTCTAATGTACCAGCTATGAAACGTATCAAGTAATTTGAAATTGTACATTTCGTAGAATGTCATAGCTGTGAGTACTTTCAAAGTATTAAGTAGCGTCGAGTGACTCATAACTCTTGTAAAACAGTTTGAAGTTGTATCTATTATGTCTAGTAATAATTAGTGTAGTTTTTTAGTGTTCATTTATGTATTAGAAAACGACATTAATTATTACTAGACCTGATATTTACTTTTAGTATCTTTGTCATCCCATTCAACTTGTAGAGATGCAATTTTAGTCATCGTTTAAAAATAAATCTTCATTTACTTTAATTGTAATTCCTGATTGAATTAGACTACGTTCTATTCACAATTCTCTATTTCAGATACTATTTTATGAATAAAGAAATAGCGCAGGGTGTGTGGGATTTAGAAAGACAATCGCAGCGTGCTTTGCTTTAATTTGCAGTTTATTGCATAAAAATGGAGAGAAGGCTTAAAAATAACAAATCAGGTAGCGACAATCGTAATCATTGGTGTGATCATAGAGTGGTGTAGTATGCAGCGTATGGGTACGACGCAGCAGGTGCAGCGGCGACTATCTTCGCAGCAGGTGCAGCTACAGGCAAGGCAGCAGGGAAGCTGTACGCCGCGGCGGCCAACGGTGCAGCGGCCAACGGTGCAGCGGCGAGTGGTGCCGCGGCAAAAGTGTTGTAGTTCCTAGCGATGACTTGACTACTTCTAGCAGTCACGATTGGTGCTGGGACGGCAGCCACCGCTGCTGCCGGTGCGGCGACCAGAGGGGCGGCAGGAATTAATCCAGCGGACGCCACTGCCGCCAGGAAGAGAACGATGCACTGCAAGAAATAATCAAGTTTAGGAATGAGAAGATAGAGTCGTATGATAGAGTTTCGAAAACACAGAACTGGATGAGGAACGTAGACTGGAAATAATAAAATTGTATAAAGAGAGAGCGAAAAAGAAAGGATGAAGTCGTTGCGAGTCGATCAAATGTTTGGAGAACAAACATGAACAAGAATCGTATTCAACGATAGAATTTGAAATACTTGAGAAACGGTGATTCTTGTTCACTTACCGTGATCTTGATCATTGTCGAGCTTGTGTTTTCGATTCGACTGTGAAGCGAAGAGTGCAGAACGGTGACGGCGAGCTGACTTTATACCAATGTCCACTGGCCGACCACAATGCGTCCGGGGCGGATCACCTTACGAAAAGCCGATGCTTGGCTTACGAAAGTGCTCGCCTCCCCGACGATCGCGGCCACCTTCGTAATCAGTTTCGTTGGAATGCAAGCCGTCGCTCCGCGTTTTCGCTTCGCATCTTCAAGCTACTCGCGTGCGGTTCGGTTTAGCTATCGTTGCTCTACGAAATCGATCGATTTCGATGACCTTGATCGAAAGAGAAGCACAGGACGGACACCTCTACGGGTACCTGTGGAGTTACGTAAACTTCTCCATGACTGGGCAATTGTATAACCCTCTGGACTATGTGCTCGTCCGGTTGAAACGCATAACAAGGTTATAACGCCGTCCGACTGATTACGCGGATCATTCTGCCTCCCACACGATCTATCCGGGACTATGGACTCTCCCGTTCGACTTTTCATCACATTTGACCGCCTCCCGTCTTTGTCAGCCAGGCTTCATTACTTTTTTATGCGCCTAGCGCTGTACGTTCAAAAAATTGATCGATCAGTCGTTGCGTCTATGTCGACGAACTTTTTCTATCCCCGGTTGCGCGATTTCGATCGATCTCGCCTCTCACCGGCCACCAGCCGGATCTAACAGCATCCCTTCTTTGTCTCGAGCTCTCGCTCGGTCTTTTTCTCCTCCACCGCAAGGCCGCGGAACTTCAAGGCGAGGCGAACGCTTTTTTCTCAAGTTCAAGTTCGTCGAGTCCGGGGACGAGATCAGGCGGGCGCGTCGTTTCCCCTTTAATGGACGTGCCTCGCGTCTCGATTCTCGGAAATGTCTAATTTAATTCTCAAATGTCATCTCGACATTTTTATCGGAAGTTCAAGCCGTCATCTACGGACGAACTTTTCCCACGGACGTCGGGCGATTATTTTTCGAAGACTCTTCGTGTACGGAGCCGTTGTCGAGCTATCATTCCTGAAACGTCGAACCGGGCAAGGATAACTCGACTAGCGGAAAACCAGTTTGCTGTTCGCGGTGGAAAAAAGTTGCACGGGCGCTCGAAAAAGGAGGAAACCGTGTTTATTGTCGGGACACGCCTGATCCCATGCGAGCCCGCAACCTTGAACAAATCCACGATTCGTTGGACGGCACACGGGAAAACCTTTCCTGGGAGCCGCAAAGGGAGAAGTCGATTGGTCGGCCGTTCGGAAAAAATATCTACGTACAGCAACAAGAAGGAAGCGAGCGATCTGCTTCGGGTGCCGGCTGTTGCCCTTCGTAGAACATCGTGCGGACGGGTAAAAGGAACAAGACGTGGACGAGCGCAAAAAGGTAGGGGGATGCAGAAAGATGAGAATCCTCGTCGCGGTTTCCCCTATATAAGAGCTGATTCCTCGGGATTTCAAGTATAATCGTCTCAGCTTGTACTTACGGTGTTGTACACGTACCCTCCAAGTAACCATGTTCAAGACGGTGAGTGACCACCAGTAAAATTTAGACATAGAAGCTAAATCCGTAATTTGAAGGTAAAACGCCACATAAGTCACATGTAAACTATCCTAATTCGTATCGTTGTTCTTATTCTTGTTACTAGTTTATGATAAGGGTATATTTTCTACTTGTACTTTTTTTATATTCATTATATATTTATTCATTACATATTTTTCATTTATATACTCTAGTTATTATTTATTGACAACGATTTTTTAAAAATGTGACTCGTGTCGTCTTGCCTATCAATATTTATTCTCCAACTGAATTTGTAACAGTTTAACGTTTGCATGATAAGAAACTCATCAATCGAAGTAACGAGATTGCGGTGGAGCAGATGTATGTCTGATAATAATCACGTCGTTGAGCGATCTCGAAATTGCAATTATTGCGAGCCGATAATCTATTCATAGACATCAAGAAACGCGGAGAATGTAATTTAATTTTTCGAGCGCAGCTGTTGTTCGCTGGATTGATGGCGGTCGCATTGGCTGCACCATCCCCGGTCCCGGCCCCGGCTCCGGCACCAGCCCCGGCACCCTCACCGATCGGCTCCGCCGCTTTGATCACTGGCCCGCTGTCCGCCGCACCGTTAACGCCGATACTCCAGAACATCGGTGCGCCCCTTCTCTATTCGGCGCCTTATCCCTACGTCAACTACGCCTCCTCGTCCCCGTACATCTACAAGAACTATATCTTCTAAGAAGTAAGAGGACGCATCATCGAACCAATCGACCACCGATCGCTCATTCTATCATCCCACGGAAAATTCAGTAAACGCATCTCTACACCTTCAGTGAAGTACTGTGCTTCGATTCTCCGCCAATATGTTCTTTACTTTTAGACCCGGCATCAAATAAAACCATTTAAACGCAAAACGCGCGTGTCTTTATTCCTCGCCTTCATTCTTCGCGGCGGCCAAACAAACGTTTCGACGATTATTTATTTTCCTCATTAATGGGTATTCATCATGCAGAGGCCTGTTACGCTATTCATCGTTACTCCGTAAATCCAATTATATAAGAGTTGGACGTAGGCGTCACCGCACTCCGAATAATCGCTCTCCACCCACTTGTGTCATATAAATATGTGTGTGTACATGGACAAAAAACCTGTGTGCACGTACGCGTCCGAGCGAACCATGTGCGAACGAAGTCGCAATCGTTAGAAAACGGGTAGATACGAGACCTTGCAAGAACCGAACGAGTTCCTTATCTTCTGAATAGATTTTACGCATGATTCGAAAGAGAGCGTGCAGAAGTCTTTGGGGATGAGAATCCTAGCGTAGACCCTGAGAAGGATCGTAATGTTTGAAATATTCTATGGATCGTTTAAACCTTGAAGCTTAGGAAGTAAAAGATTTTTCCTATTGAAATAAAGATGTTCGTCATCGATGACGATATCACGAAAAATCGGACAAGGTCGTGCGAAGGGGTAACAGCAAGCAACACCCTCCTCACGGGGAGTTTTGTTTTTATGAACGACGAGTCAATTATGCAGACCGACAACAATACCAGATCATTACGTAAAGGTAAATGCAATGTTCTCGCAAACATGTATGTACGTCGCGTAAGGGATGTCCCATACCGTTGGACACTTCTACGGTTCACTGCCACTGTTAATTCGCTTCCAAGAACTCCGACCAGCGACTGTTAACCCTCCTTCCTCCACGTCCTCTGATCGCCAAATTATACTTTCTCGATGCAGACCAAAATTATGTAGTCCAAGATTTGAGTCCGCGAAATAGATTAACCCTTTCCACTCGTATGTCGACTTACAGGCGACATTATACGTTTTACTATTGTATGTCGCCATATAATCGCCACCCTATTTTATTATTATATATATATTTACTTTAGTATTTCATTTTAGGGATCATTGTTATAATGTTTTTTTTTAGTTTCTGCTTAAATGTGCGTGTATGTATGAAATAAAATAAATAAGAAAAATATTTTTTTTAAATAAGAGTGCAAAGGGTTAAATCGGTGAGGATTCTCTTCATAGAAATGACAACATACATTCTGCTTTTGATGATTCTATTTATTTTTATATATTACATGCAGTATTTATATTTTCTGCATATACAATTTCCTTATAGACCGTCAGTAAAAGCTGTGGTCTATCCATTGGAATGCTCTCATGCAGAGATTGTCTTGTCAGATTTTCGGACGGACTAATCTAGTCGGGGCGTTGAATTGTCTCTCTCACGTTGCATTTGCAAGTAGCCAACGTGTACTGATCACAATATTATTGGCGCCTGTTGACACGTGCTGGCATAATAATACCTTTGCAATCGAATTTTTCCTTCGTGTTCCTTATTAGATCGCGAATGTTATATGTACAAAAGCATCAATCAGGGGGCGTGCAGTCCATAATAGCTCATAGTCATAACGAACCGCGTTACGTCGGGACTATATTTGGAGGAGGCGCTCTGCTGTTACCAAGATTCCTTGCGGATTCTGTTATATGACTGACTCTTCACATTATATTAGTTGTGCCGATGTTATTGTGTTCACAATTAGATTATACCGTTTTATAATTATAACTGCACGATTGATCTAGCAATCAGTTTACATTTAAATAATTGCTTGTTCGATGCGCATTCACCAAAATTCATACGGTGGTCGTTGTTGAAGATTCTTTTCCTCGAATAAATTCATCGCTTTCGAGTAGCTGTTAAATAATTGATTCGTTGAAATATTGGATTTTTATATGTCTGACCGTTTGACCGAATCAATGGATTATTAAATACTCGTTTGATTGAATTAGTTGAAGCACGATGGTTAATCGAGTTTTTGCGAAAGGTTAAATTATTTGCATTGGCGTTTGCGAAATTATTGATTGCGAGGGGGTGGTGCATCCGGTGGGTCGGCATCCGGCTGAATGGTACATCCACCCCTTGCCATCGATCGCCGCAGAGAGAGAGAGAGTTCATCGACCTCTTCCGTTTCGAGACGCGGTACAATTCTTCCGTCCCCGTTTTCTACCTTCTTCCACTCTTATCTCACCCGTTTCATCCGACGCCTGCTGAATCGCGGCATAGCTAAATTTAACGAACTCGTTCCGTCGAGCGTCTTCGAGGCATCGATCGTTCCTCGCGAAACTCGGTTCCTTGTCACGTCGTCAAATCGTGTAAAGGGATACGTTTCGCATGTTCTTAGTTCCACGGAACTTGCTGATGGAACTGTGCTACCCTTCACACGACTCTGACTCTTGAGAAGTCGCGACCGCAGAAAGACTTCTGAACGACGACGTGGGTCGCGAATACCGATGAATCGTCGTGGGTCGCGAATACCGAAACGGTACCCGGTGTAGATGAGTATTCGTGGGAATGTGATCATCGCGATACCCGTTCTCGCGGAAGCGGCTCGAACCATCACGTGGTGGAGAGGACATGCGCGGACCCTTCGTGAGCCCGCGGCTATATAAGAGAAGACCGCGAATAGCCGAGCATCAGTCCACCCTCGAGATCGTACGTAAACGCAAACGATCAGCCAACAAACGTTTACGATTAAAGTCGAGTTAATTCGATCCGAGTAAAAACACGAGCCGTCGTGGAAACGAGGAAGAAGATCGATCGTCAACGAATTTCGTTATCCTCGAGTGTGAATACGGTGAAAGAGGTGTGGAATAAATTAAACACACGTGACACATATTAAAAAGGCGATAATCGAAGATCAGTGTGAATAAGAGCTGTCGAAGACGACTGCGAACCGGCTAGTTGAGTGCATATCTAGATCCGTGATTTCGATCGAATCGGTAGCGTTTATCCGTCGTTGAGAATGGAAGACACGACGAGGCTGACCGACCTTGAAGAAGATCGCCGAGAAAACCAAAAGGCAGACGTGAAACGAAGAATGGGTCCGATACCGGGACCCTCGAAGCAGGAGTTCGTAGATGATGAGTGCAGCACCGATAGCGGATGCAGCAGCGGTGGAAGTACGGGAAGCGCAGAGAGACTGTCTCGCCGCGGAAGCAGCGAGCGGCTGTGCCGCTCCACGAGATCGCCGAGGACTCACTGCTACCTGGATCGGCTTCGCGGTCGACCCACTCGTTCTCAAGAACGATTGTCAGGCGTGCAGAGAAGTTCCGAGAGGGTGCGAGCGAAATCTTCTCGCTCCTGGAGCCCAGGAGACGTGAGAGGCGTCCCGAGGACCTCCGAATCGCTGTCTTACTCTTCGAGCCCCTCGGACGCTCACAGCAGCACCGACAGCGACTCCCTGAAGAGATCCAGCACCGCGGAAACCCTTCGAAGAGCACTGCAGACCCTGAAGATCTCCTCCAAGTGGGAGGGCAAAGAGAACAAGCACGCGAAGAAGAGTCCCAAGAGAATTCTCCGCAGCCCGGTGTCCTACACTTACGTGAGAGGCCTCTCGGGGCTGCCGACTCAGAGGGTGCCCAGGAACATGGCCCAGCATCTCGCTATGCCGTGCTCGTGTCAAGATCCCGTTGGTCTTTACCGATAGAAAGCCATTTCATCTGGTACAATTCTCTTGAAAACGAACCTCTTGGACTTCATCATCATCATCATCTTCGTCATCTTGTGAAAACGAACCTCTTGGACCACCGGCCCGGTTCGATTAGTGTATCCTACGCTTCTGTGTCGTATGTCCCTTGAATCGCGGCACCTTTTTGTTAGCCGCTGACTTTTTAAAACCACGACCAAACGAGTGGATCAAAACGTATACGAGGCTAAGAGTGACACGCGACGAGTCAGACTTAGCAACGTTCTATTGCCTGAAAAGTATTTAAATTGTTTCGAAACGTGTTTGATACGTGAAACTAAAATGTTGTTTTCACAATTTCTAAATAAGATATATCTACAGTAATTTTTCAATTTTCATTGTGCTTCGTGGAATCTTGGCGATTAGGGAGAAAAAAATGAATGCGGAACACGCGATTAAATAGAGCTGCGACACATTTTAAGTTGTCGCTCTTCATATACGTAAATGTGATAGATTACGTAGCAGGAACACAATAGTCGTAAAACCATGTATGTACCTTTTATAGAAACGTTTAGTGCAATTCGCAAGACGTGTATAATTAGCGATAGGAATTACCTTAACTCGCGAAAACGGATTGTAAAGCTAACAAGTACGATTCGCTAATGGGATTGACTATGCGCATTTCACCACCTTTTTACACGTGGGCAGCTTCTTTGCCGAATTCGCGAGGTGTACTCCGAAATACGTCGGCGCCGATGGCGACGCTGATTCGCGAGAGAGTAATTATAGCGTATTGTCGCGAAGCCGAGGACGGTTGTCGCGGTATACACGAGTCAATTACGTGGACGCGAAAGAAATTCGTGCGATTCCACCTACCATCTAGCATACACTACCATTCAGAAGTTTTATCACACCGCTGTGAAAGAATTCTGGTAAAAATCAGAGAT